GCACACCCCTAACCCTAATAGAGGGGCAAAATACCATTGAAAAGAGGGCAATTGTGAAAAAAGCCACCCAGAGTGGCGTTTTCTGCAGTGCTCATCATTTCTGCCCCTTCTAAACACGTTCCAACCATCAAAATCATGCAAGGACACCTCGTTTTGCTAACCCTAACCCTACCCTGGTGCACACCCCTAACCCTGATAGAGGGGCAAAGTGCCATTGAAAAGAGGGCAATTTTGAAAAAGACGACCCAGAGTGACTTTTTCCGCACTGCTCAACATTTCTGCCCCTTCTAAACAAGTTCCAACCATCAAAATCATGCCAGGACACCTCATTTTGCTAACCCTAACCCTACCCTGGTGCACACCCCTAACCCTAATAGAGAGCCAAAGTTCCATTGAAAGGAGGGCTATTTTGAAAAAGCCCTCCGTGAGGGCCTTTTTCTGCACTGCTCAACATTTCTGCCCCTTCCAAACACGTTCCAAACATCAAAATCATGCCAGGACACCTCGTTTCCCTAACCCTAACCCTACCCTGGTGCACACCCCTAACCCCAATAGAGGGGCAAAATACCATTGAAAAGAGGGCAATTTTGGAAAAGGCCTCCCAGAGTGGCTTTTTCTGAACTGCTCATCATGTCTGCCCCTTCTAAACGCATTCCAACCATCAAAATCATGCCAGGACACCTCGTTTTGCTAACCCTAACCCTACTCTGGTGCACGCCCCTAACCCTAATAGAGGGGTAATGTTACATTGAAAATCATGCGATTTTGAAAAAGCCTTCCTAGAGAAGCTTTTTCTGCACAGCTCATCATTTCTGCACAATCTAAACACATTCGAACCATCAAAATCGTGCCAGGACGCCTTTTTTCGCTAACCCAAACCCTACCTTGTTGCAAAACCTTAACCCTAATAGAGGGTTAAGTTTCCAGTGAAAAGAGGGCGAATTTGAAAAAGGCTTCCTTGATTTCAAAGACAACGCTCCTGATGGGTAAATTTACCCTACCTGTTTGCCATGAAAAGTGATTTAAGAGGGTTCTTAGTAGGGTGTCTTGCCCCTGCCTACAACTTAATAATATGTCCCCCATGCACCAAAAGCAACTTTTCTGAGTGGACCACACAGCTAGTTGCACTTTTGGAAAAGCTTCCTGCCACGTGTGCATGGAATTGCACTCTGAAACTGCTATCCTAAAAACAGTTACCTGGGATAGAGAGAAGTCCTATTTAAGTCCAAGGGGAATGATAATTCTTGTGAAAAAAGCCATTGGGAGAAGGGAGGGAAATTTTAAGTTTCCTTTTAAAAATAAAACTTTATTTTCTTCTGTTTAAATAGCCACATTTTACTGCCATTCCTTCTTAAGTGCATTATAGATACTGAATGCAGAAACCTAGCTCGTGTTTCCATTGCTTAAAATTTCCACACTTCTCTTTTTAATAATTACGGGGGAGGGAGATGTGAGATAGTTCATTTTAATCCATCCCTAGTGTAAGTTACTGTTATGGTTAATTTAGCACTTCTTGTCACTACAGTAATTTAATATAAACATGCAAGTTCATTTTATAGAATTAAAAGCGCTGGTTGGGTTACTTTTTTGGAAGGTGGGGTCAATGAATTTAGTATGTGCTAAATTCTTCAGACTTTTCATAAATTTAATACTTTTTCTGGATGAAACTTTAAACATTAACTAAGGCATAATAACCCAAAATTTCCTTAAGGCAGTTACTTATATGTTGCAGAATAATAAAATTCCTAAGCAGTTTACATATAAATATGAAATCCACAATTTAAATGAACTATTGAAAATGATTTCCACTGTAGTAATACAAACAATGCAAACAGTATTAGGACTGAGCTGCATATAATTTACTACAATTAATTAGATGCCAGAGAAAGCCTAGGTGAATAACTATGACGCTCTGAGCTATAATTTCAGGAGGGATTTAAAAGATGTTTTTGTCTCGTGAACTGCGCTGGCTTCCATTCAGTGGGCACTTCTACCAGTATCTCATGGGAACTTTACTGGTGGCCTGGTATGGAACAAGCTTCCCACTAAGGCCCACCTGGAACCAAATTTACTGTCTGTCTAGCACCAGGGAATGAATTGTACTGCAGGGCATTTCATTAGTTACTGGGTCCCGCTGGTTGTTAGACTGGATTTAATAAGGTCTTCTCAACTTGTAATTTTTTGTTGCTTCAAATTTGGTTTTAAAAGTTGCACTGTTGACTTTTACAATGTTTTAATTGCACATTATATACCTCTGTGAACTGCCCAGAAAGCTTTGACTGCTGGGCAGTATAGAAAATAAGCAAACAAACATTCAGCTGGTTTTAAGGGACGAAGGATCAGCAAGGTCTTCCTTTACTACCACCAAATATATAGTAATTTCTATTTTTCTTGAGCTATTCTGCTATTGTAGGCAGGCTCATATTGATCTTCTGTGTGACATTCATATTCTTTGACTTGAATAACCTGTGGGTGAGCAAAATGTAGCCTATTCTGCCAGAGAAGTAGCCAAATGACTCCTCAGCCACACCTGCTAACAAAAGGACATCTCTGTTCCATCTGGGTTGCCAAACAGATCTAAGGGGTAGGCTAACTCTTTCACTTTCCAGATTTAATTTTTTTCGAGCTAGCATATTAGAAGAATTCTGCCCATGACTTGCAGCAGTAAAGTGCTTTGTTGCACAGGTTCCAGCTTTAAGGTGAACAATTGGCTCAGTTCTGTGTTTTACCTTTCCAGAGTGGTTTCGTCCTTTCTCAACTCTGTGTTACTCCCCTTAGAAACTTGGCTATGCGACAACTCCAAAATATCGCAAATACAGCTCCTCTTTAGAAAATGATCTCAGGGTGCAGGGCTGGGAAAGGCCTCTGTCCTTCCTGTCTAAAGAGAAGATGAATAAACAGCTCCATACATTTAGCAAATGCTATAAATAATTCCTAAATATATAAAGAGATTAATTTGATAGAAGATTCCATCTGTTTTCAGTGTGCTAGAATATCAATGTCAGCTAGATAGAGATCGCAGTTTAATAATGCATCAGTTCAGAGAATGGTTTACGGACTGCTTTCTGGTGCAGTATTATTAGAATATTAGTTTGATCAGGCTCTCGGTGGAAGAAATAAATTTTATTTGTATTCATTCTGTAAGGTGGAAGGGTGTTCAGGATTCCAGGTTTTCAGGTCTTAAAAAGCTAGTAATACATTTTTAAAGCCTTTCCAAATAAAAGTATTGATTTTTAGAAATCAATCTATTTGCTGGGTAACTACGCTGTAGCAGATCAGAAAGTTGTAATCTTGCTGTTAAGCTAAGCTGGAAGACAAGGTGCTCACCACTGACCCTCTGCTATGGCAACAAAAGGTCACACTTAACACGCGAGAGAATAGATGAAGTCATATACTTACAGAACTGCAAAATGAGAGTACTTACAGCAAGCTCTCTAATTCATTCCACCAGATACTCGGTCCATTTAGCCAACCCGGCAGGAACGAAGCAGCTCACATTTCATGAAGTCTGCAAGGGATCTCCTTCAACGGCCATCATATTGCAAAGACATATTTAATAGGGCCCAAAGGGAGTATGCCGATTTTGTCAAGCGAGTATCCCGCAACAGCGAGGTGCAATGAAGGAACACCGCTGGTGAATACAAGCCGAGTGCGAGGGAAGAGCAAAAGGGCCAGGGGGGCCACTAAGAGTCGTTGTTACCCACTGCAATTATGTAGAGGGCAGGTATTTTTAACCTAAAGCTTTGCAAGTTTCTCAAAGTGTCCAAATGGATATACAGATTAGTTCAGGTACCTCTTATTTCTCCTTCCACTTTCTATACATGAGGGAAAGGCTATCCACCCTCAGCCCAACTGAGCTGGTGGGTCTGTTGCCACCAAGGAGGCAGAGACCACCGTGAACCCCTTCTCCCCACTCCCTAACCCTAAATACGCACCTAGACTTTTTCTCCGTGCAGAGGGGGGCAAGGAGTGCTATGCACAGCAAAATGAACCCTGCTGGGGCCCGCAGGTGCCCATCCCCGCATGCCCTGGCTGACTTCGGGGGCCTCTCCCTTCCTTTTCCTTCAGGTGGCTTAATTTATCGGGGTACAAATGGAACAGAGAGAGACTCTGCCAGGACTTCCAAATGTGCACTGTGGAGTGGAACGTCCTTTCTAACTCTGATCTCTTACAGAAGATTCTCCTTTATGCTACTTCTTTATGCTATTTGCCATTGGATGGAAGGTGCTAAATCCTTTAACCAGTATGTAACCAAGTTCATGAGTTTTTATTTGTTGATAAATGATGGAGACATGACACTTATGCTGCATAACTCTGTGTGTGTGTGTGTGTGTGAGTGTGTGTGTGAGAGAGAGAGAGAGAGAGAGGGAGAGGGAGAGGGAGAGGGAGAGGGAGAGGGAGGGAGAGGGAGAGGGAGAGGGAGAGGGAGAGAGATGCAATCACAAAATGGTGGCAAAGGTACCTGATCCTTCCAGGCAAACTGCTTGGTAAAAAATGACTTTGTAACATGGGCCACGTACAGTGAATACAAAGTTTTTGAATCATTCTATTGCGGTGCATACTGTAAGCTCTGAAACAGAATTTTTTTCTTTTCAACCTGAGTAGACAACTGAGTCATAAGCCTATGTACTAACAGCAAACTCAATAATGCTCCTGTAGTCACAGGGAGTGAAGGTAAGTGGGAACAGAGGAACCCTGGAAGCACAAAAAGAATCCTCCAACAGGTAAGCCACACTATACGCAGGAGAGAAGGCTGTTTATATGGCAAAGCATACTTTTTAATGTAGTGCATTTCAGGCTTCTCCGCCTTTTTAAATTTTAAAATATCATCAGGTAAGTTTAAAAGCAACCCTGCAAACATGGTAAAACCCTTTCTAACAAAGCATTTTCTTCAATTGTTTAAGGGTTGATTTCACTTGTGAAACTGTAAGCCAAAGCTGTTGAAAAGATGTAGACACTTCACTCCCCCCAACTGTGGTCTGGAGAGCACTCAAGATGGAGCCAAAACACACCAACACGCACAAGGTGCTTCAAGGGCTCCACTGGAGAAAAGCAACTGCTCCGTGGCCGCATTTTGTGCTGTGCTGAAGTGGGCAGCCTGATCAAAGAATTAAGCAAGGGACAGCAAGGAAGGGTATGTGAAGCAAACATCCTATTGGAGAAGCATTCGCCGATGCACTCTTGTCTGCGCATTTGGACAGGAAGTCTGTCCTTACTTGCTTCTCTTATCTCTTAACCCTGGTATCGATCTACCTCTCCCTTTAACGTGCCACAGTGCTCAGGTGTTCAAGACTCTTTTGAAGTTGTGGATTAAACAAGGCTATTGATTTGGTGAGCAAAGGTAGGGACAACACGGTTCTTAAGAGTCACTACAGAGGTGCCACCCCACTAAGGAGTTTGCCTAACCTGTTCTGTTCACTGGAAGGACCCTCAACATGAGACAGCACTTCTTCTGCTCTGAAAAAGTGCACCAAGGCACCAAGCAGCACCTGACAGTTCGGTGCTGGAACTGTCCCTTCTCAGATCAGGGACAAGGTGTCCTGATGTGCCAGCAGTATTTCCTCTTTTTTAAAACACAAGCACCCCAAAATTCCCATTCAGGTGAAACAGGTATTTACTCCTGGATGCTGCCCTGTTTATTTACAGTTTGCTATTCTGCTGAAACTGAGTCACCCAGGAGAGGACCTGCTCTGAGGCTTTGATCTGCTTCATTCCGAGATACGTGGCACTATTGCTCGCGGTGTCTTCCAAGAAATAACGGTAGTTGACCATCATGCCGCAAGATGCGGCGATGCCACGGGGGCTCACGTCCGCCATCCAGTTCAATCGCCAAAGCACTGCGCCGTTTTGCAGGTGGAAGTTGGCCACCGGATTGAGGGCGTAGCCACGGTGCTTCTCTCCATACAGGTACCACGCACACAGCCTCATGAGCGGCTGCTCTAGCACTTGGACTAGTCTTTCGGACCTCACCCACTCACTGTTCGTGAAGAGGCGCTTTAGAATTTCGAGAGCAGGTTCGCCCGCAATCTCGGAAATTTCTTGGTATTCAGGGTCTGTGAAGAGATTGCTTCTCCCTTTTTCTTTGGACTGTGCGGAGAGGAGCCCGACAAGCCATTTGGTGAACCCCGGAATGGGAGAAAGCGTAGAGAAGACTTTGATCTGGGGATATTCCATCTGCAGCGTTTTTTTTAAATATCGAAAGACATAAAAAGGCAAAACATTTAGCAATGAATGATGAATACATGAAGCACCACCGGTCTACCTGGTCAAACAGTCGGCCATTATCTACTGCCTGTGTGAAACCCAAGTGAAACAGTGGCCTCTCACTCACGTTCCCCAGAAACTGGCATACGCAGGAATGCTCTTTTCCACTGGAGACTGTGTACAGCCAATGGGACAGACCTCGTCTCCCTAAATGAATCATACCCATGTTTAAGCCATCTAAGTTGGTGGCCAAGTACATCTTAGGGTAGGAGTTCCGAGGTGTAGCGATACCCCGCAGGCATAAGGCTTTTGTCTGTTCTCAGTCTCCCACCTCTAGCATCATGGAATGACCCCGGGTACTACGATTTTGAGTACCGTGATACTTTGCAGAATTGTATATGCTTCTAGCACGCCTACCCTTGTCTGGGTTCAGCTGGAAAAGTACTTCAGTCACAAAAAACAGATGCTAAGTTGTCCCAGAAATTGGTCAGGACTTTTAAATCAGCAAAGGGCAAATTAGCTTGAAACCAATTAACTTCATTAGTGAGCTGGACGGCACCTTAAGTCAAGAACATGCTGTTTTATGAGTTTTATATCCCTTCCATAACTTCATTCCCCGATATATTTGAAAAACATGCCTACCCAGGTAGAAAAACATTTAAGCTTAGAATCCCTGGTTTCCCATTTCTGCCTAATGAAATAAATATCCACTGCCCAACATATCAAGCTCTCAAGATTCAGAGATCGAGGCAGTAAATTAAAGTCCCGGCAGGGTACTTTTCCATACCGTGAAGCCTTGATCAGCCATTCTCTCACAGATATTAGATGCAACACCAAGGATTTGGGGAATTTTGTCAGGCCCTTGAAAATCTGAGGTAATTGATATAAATTTGTTCGGTGAATATCTCCCTGCCAGCTCAGGTTTGGCAACTGAGCAACAAGACAGCTGCACCGTTCAGACTCAGAAATCAAGGCGTGCGAGCCTTCCCAGAGCAAAATCTCTCTCCATTTCTCCTTTGTTGCAAATTTACGTAAAATAAATTTTTCACGGGCACTTTGCAGAATATCATTCGTACAGCAAACACTATTTTAAGCCTGAGGAAAGCAGGGGCAACTTCTCCACAGGAGGGTTGTTGGTTCAGCCAGACAAGCACTTATCGTGCACCAAATGTTGGGTGACTGCACATACAAGTTAAACTTGGAACTGCTCGAGGCACTAAAACATTGCAGTCCTAAGGAGAATTCCTATTTTGAAGATAACAAAGTCTGTGGCTGAAGAATACAAGCATTCCTAGACTAGAGCCCCTAACCTGAACAGAATAGCTCTTCAAATGCCACCATCTTCATGGGTGCAGTAGGCAGGCCCCGTTCTGACCTGGTCTTCTCCCACTTATGAGCATGGCTTAGTAACGGCATCACAACAGCTGGCAGGACTTTGCTAGCTAGTCCCACTTACCTACTAAAGCTTTAAAGAAATGGTGGCAGAACCTAAAGTGCTTTGTTCAGAAGATGCCTATGTCCAAATAATTTGCAACTATTCTCTTAGAAAAGGGTCTCTGATTAGATTAGTTACTTTCATACGAACCCAGAATTCAGGGCTGCACATCTCATCAGTTAATTTTTTAGAGCACAAGTTCACTGTTTAACCTAAAGCATAAAGAGAACAAAGTGAACCGGGATGGAGAGGGATCCACTGCAAGCTGAATAGCAGAACCAGTGAGAAGAAAGGCAGAACAGGACCACTGCCAAAGCAAAAGCTACATTTGACCAAAAACGAAATGGCAAAGGAAAAGTCAAGGTTCCCATTCTTTCTTAATGTGCAGGAAGGTAGGAGGCTGTCTGACACTGAGCAAGACCTCTGGCCCACCCAGACCAGGGTTGCTGACAGTGACTGCCACTACTCTTCAAGATTTTCCCCACTCCTGCCTGCATCAGCATGGAAAGCAGGTGATCCATCACCGAGCTACAATCCCATCCGCAAAGCAAGGAGGGCAGCCACGTGCCTTCTGCCACCATGCACCAGACATCAGGGGGCACCCCCATCATGCCCAGCCTCAGCTAGAAAAGCAGGAAGTTCACAGTTTGGGCTGCACACCACTGCTGCTCCATTTTGGGGTGAATTTGTTCCTCCAGGAGTTTGGGCCAAAACGCGACAGACTTGCAGGATCTAATGTGTCTTTTAATAGTGTTTCATTTGTTTACCAAACAAATGTAAACCTTAGTATAATTTATTAAGACAGAGTCTATTTGGGGTCTGTAGAAGAGATGGGGGACAGAATATAAAAGCAATCGTGTGCTTTTTATTTTAAGAAATGACAAGACAAATTGGCAAAATGACCCAGTTTTTGTAGCATCTCATATCTGATGAATGGCTGAATTTAGAAGCTTATCTTATGTGGCCAGTTCCTGAAGAAAATAATAAATAGATGCAGTAAAGCATGGCCATTTATGCTGCTGCTAAATTGATGTGCTACTTTCCAGGGTTGCTGGTAGAGCTCGGTTAATGTTTATTTCCTTGTCAGAAACCCACACACCATTAAGAAGCAGATGCTGGGTTTATTTTGTTGTTGCTTCTGCAAAAGGTTGCAGATTCCTTTTTATTATCAGTGACTCATCTAAAACAGCAGCGCATTCTATTAGCCAAGCCAAGGGGGGGGGGAGCAATGTCCTATTTTTCACCCACAAAAACAAAGCCTATACTGGGAAGCTATCTTGAGTAGTATCGATTAAGGCACCCACAGCCTCACCAGAAAAGAATACTCCTCTTTAATCCGGAACGTTTCCTATTGACCATGCTTGTATGTGTCATGGTGACTACTGTGGGCCAATTCTGTACACTCTCCTTCAAGCCATCTCCGGCAGTAATGGGAAAGGAGGAGCTTTAAAAGGGAAAAAGTGCAGAGCCCACTGTGAAAGTATTCTGAAAAGGTAAAATGTTGGGCTTCCAAGTTACATTATTGATTATCTGCTGCCTTACAGGGTTTGATAGGAGTATCTGAGTTTGACTCCAGGTACGCAACCACCAAAAAGCTGATCAAATGTAGGAAGGAGTGCCTAGAGAAGCAAGGGGAACTGAAATAGGTGAGCAGTCCCCCTCCTTGGCAAGGCAGTTGTTCTTAGCTCTTATTGAGCTGTTCTAATTTTCTGGGAGGCTATTTGGCAGTGCAGAAGTCTATATAGTGGACTGTTCCAGAGCAGCAGTTATAAACGGGGTGATGGCAGAAGAGCATTTTTTGTCTTTTTTTTGTCTGAGAGAGAAAATCCTCCAATAAGGTTGGCCAAGACGTTCTGTTTGGAGCTATCCTTTATTAAAAACATGACCATCAGCTACTTCCAGAGACAGACTAACAGTATGGATGTTCAGTTATGATGATGCTAACAGAGGTCTTTGACGCCTACAACCCCTTGAAAGGAATCCCACCCAAACACGCATCGGATTTAGAAGAGAAAGGGTTACCTTGCTGCAGTTTGCTTCATTCAACACAATTCTGCCACCCCTCCTTGTGACCCAGTGCAACTCTATTTTCCCTTCTTATACGGACCAAAAGCAGGCATTAGCAGGCATCTTAAGTACTCAAATGGTTAACATTCGCGCGGCTACAGCTCAAACCCTGCCTCTTCACTTTCCAAAATATCCATGACAGCAACAATTTAACATGTTCTTTTTCTTGGGAAATTAAAAGTTACAGAAGCTTGAAATTAAGTGATTTGGAATTAATCAAATAGATGAGAGAAAACAAAGCAAATAGTGATATATCTTATTTTTCCCACATTGTCTACTCCCCAAAGGATGCTTTGGATCCAGCCATGAGAAATGTACTACAACACATTAATATCTATGGGAATGAACCCCGGCAAATGAAGCAGTACCAAGTAATTTAGTTTGGTATTTAAATGAGCAGGCTGTACTTTTAGTAAGACAAATTCCTAAGTGTTTTCCTTAAACAGAAGTTTAAGGAGACGCAATTCTCCTTGGACCTGCATTAAGAGGCTCTCCCACAAACAGTTCAGGCACCACCCGAGAAACTCCAGCAGGGATCACGCAACGGGCTATGAGGGCCCAGGCACCGCCAGTGGGCTGCATGTTGTCACCCCTGCTGAGTACAACAGTGAGACAGACAGATCGATATCCTGACTCTGGAGGGATCAAACACCCACCAGGGCACTTATTTCAGCCAGAGTGGAATTAAGCATAACCACTCCGCCATTTTGCACCACCACGTTGCGTCTTGCAAAGCCAGCTGGGGTGCATAGTGCGAGGGTTAAAGAAGCCTTGCATAAACCAGGGCTTGTTTTAACCCTCACATTACCCATCTCCACTGGGTTCAAACGATATAGCAAGCTTTCCACCTGGCATGGGCCACAACCCACCATCGCTTTAAAGAGCCATGGTGGGCCACGGTGATCATGGGCTTTGTTATTACTATTATTGGATAAAATGGCTTCTTCTGTTCCTTCAAGTACTAACATGCTACAAGAAATGAAAATACAAGTTAGCTTTCTAATACGCTTTTGCGATTGAAATTTTCTCCACATACCTGCAGTTCCTTAACAACTCGCTTGATGAGGTACGTTCCCAGCTCCACACCCTGCAGGCCCTGTTGAGTCAAACTGATTGAATAGAAAATTGCTGTGGTAATTTTGTTCAAATTCTCCACTTCTTGAGAAGGAGCCTCTTTCACGATGGCCTAGAGAAAGATGAACAAGAAGAGTAACGGGGATCGTCCCCAGAATTCAAACAGCTCTACACTCCACAACCCAATTAATCCAACATAGGTCACAATCGCATGAACTGAAAAAAGACGACTCTCTATATGCAGCCAGACACCTGACTCCTTTTTAGTTAAGCAGTTGCTCTCTCCAACTCTTTTGAAACATTTTGGAATTACAGAAGCAGCGTACGAGAAACAACTAGATAGGGACACATGAGGATTTCATTCAAATCTAAAGAATATATCCAACTTGCAAGCCCAACTGCAAATACAGTTTTCAGAAAACTCACACACATTATCAAGTCTGTGATTGTGTTTTCAAAATGTCTTTTCCCAGTTGAAAGATGTTCAATTTTCCTTCTGAACAGCTAGGAGGTACTATTAAGATAAGCTAGTAAGTAACAACTTGCTAAGTCACCCACGGTGAGCAAAAACTGCCCCCAGGTGAGCAAGCTTTATTTCCTTTAAGCCAGGTATGAGCAACCGAGGTGCATTTAGGCAAATGGAACTACCAGATCTTTTACTGGAAGTACCTTTGGTGGAGTTACTTGAAGGACTGCATTAAGGCATTAGCTGCAATGAACTTCTCGGGGGGGGGGGGGAGGCTTTATTTTCTTGGCTCCTGCTCAAGCCCTGATGTATGATTGACTTGCAACCAACATTTGAGAAATAATACTCTCAGAAACAAGCTAAGTCAGCCAACTGTACCTGGATATTGCTGGATATCTCATCTGTAAGTGCAACATGCAAAACTATCAACGGTTCTCCGGGTATTGCACAGTGGGCAAAATAATAGCACCTTCTATAAGACCCAACTCGGCGCTTCATGTCTACCCAGTTTCTAACGGGATGCACGGCTTCACTGCTAAAAAAGATTTTAAAAACAGTAACAATTAGATCTTAATACAGAGGGCAGAGATTCACAACATTCCTATGGCTCTTCCACATTTGAATTCTGCCCTCTTCAAATGTTATCAAAATATAGTACCACTTGGATGGTGCAGGAGAACTGAACTTTAAAAAAAAAAATAACATCCATGCAAAGCTGCCGCATCTGTGGCACTTACTCACTAATCTTTTGGAGAATCTCACAAGGCGACTGCCATGTAACTCGCTCCAGGGTTAGGAATGCTGTGGAAAACCATTCTGACAACATGTTCTTCAGCACCCCGTTCATTTCCTGGATATAAAAAGAGAGAGATCCAGAAACAAAGAGTCTATCAGTTCTGCAGCAGGAGCAGTGGAAATGCTTTCACAAGCACAGAAGGCCCCCACTTCCCCATCCCAGTGAGAGTTCCTCTCAGGTAAGTGTGCAAAGGATTGCAGCTGTAGCCTCTTATTACGCTCTTCTGTCTCTTCCCAATGAATGTGAAGCATTCGTATACCATTCTTTAAACAGCTCTAAGAATTCACAGGAAGAATCGCAAACTAAAAACAATGGAAAAAATCCAACAATTGCTGACAGAGGACAAGGACCAACGTTCAATGCTTAAAAGCTACAACAACGGGGAGAATAAGCAGGCCTTCACCTGACACCAAAAAGGTAGTAGGGTGAGAAGAGACTCTTTGGGGAGTCCATGAATGGAGTGCCATCAAACAAGCCCTCTTTGTGGTCATTCACTGCGTTTCTATACCAACCAACACCAAAAGCTCTCTGAGTGGCTTCCAAAGATTAAAAGTGCAACACTGTATGTAACATACATGAAAAAAACACTACATATAGGCATATGTCAACACACACACACACACACACCCCACCTCATTTCCAATGGCAGGCACATTACTGCCACGTTTTGCTAATCAACTGAATTAAATTGCATATTCACATGTTGTGCACATACGCTTCCCTGGCAAGACGACGACCCTTTAAAAAATGGGGCAGAGAACGATTCCACTCCTGCACTAGTACTTCTCAACTGTGGCTAGAAGAGCTTCCTAAGCCAGCCAAGATAAGCAGGATCAATCATGAATGGATGGGTGGATGGACAGAAGGACGGATGGAAGACAGACAGACCCCGTACACTTCCTACCACAGCATGTTTCTGGAAAACAGAGGGTGGCAGGGAGGTGGTGAAGAAGCCTACATTTGCGGCCCTGTTCACATGGACGAAACTGTGCCATACAATGAGCAATTTCTGCAGATACTTCTGCAAGTGACTCTAGCACATCAAGATGGGTTGTTTCCCTGCTGCTGTGCACAGTACGTAAACGGAATTTTAAGGAGCCTAGCCTCTCCCAAAGTGCTGGTTATGGAAATAAAGACCCTCATCCCAGTACACTGCAGCAAGTGACAGCTGCTGCCAAGCTCTCATTTCTCCCAAAGTCAGCTAGAGAACCATTGCTCTGCAGGGACATTAGCAGCTGAGGGTTTAGCATCAACACCGTTCAACCTCTTGGGAAGCGCTATTAAAAAAGAAAGCAAGAAAGCAGCTCTCCTGCCTTGTCTTGGTGCTTGAATTTGCTGCAATTTATGGACAGACTGACCGACCTTGGGAACCATTTCCACTGCAGTCAGTTACCTGCTTCTCAAAGAATCCCCGAGAGTTTCATTCCCCGACACTGCACTGCCTTTATGTAGTAAGTGCTTAAAACAAACTGAATGAAAAGGGAGGGAGGGCTATTTTCTACAACAAAATGCAAAACACTGGAAGTACCAATTACTAGAAGCCAGCGATATAAAGCCAGGAGTTAACAGGCCTTCCCGTTAGATTTAACAACAAGTCAGTCTGCCTGCCTGCCTGTCTGTCTTTCTCTCCTTCTTTCCTGCTAAGTTTCATCCAGATTGAATTTCTAACATTCTCCGAAATAATGCATAAGAAGATTGGCTAACTGTTTGCACATTGATTAGGAAAGGTATCAAGTGAACCTCTTTCTCGATCTCAGTTTGGGAATGGAAATATAGTTTTCTTATAAAAAGTCAGAACACATTTGGCTGATGGGCATTCTGTTGAGGTAAACTAACACAGAACTTCCTCACTCACTTGCGGATTTATTGGAAAAGGAACAGCATATTAACATTTTCATGAACTGTGATCTCAGAACAATCTCACCAAAGCATAAAAGTCTGCCATAATGCTCTTACAAGAATGAAAATTGAAGTACTTAAAGGCATACATCAGAGAAGGAGAGAGAGAGTTCTCTTGGCCAAGGTAATTACCTCAAAAAATCCACAATGAAAGCTCTTATATAATAAAACAACGCTTTATCCTTTAATACACTATGCTACTGGATTAGTACACTGGCTGCAAGCAACGCACTCCAAAGACATGTTTCATTCTGCAGTAATCCATGCTTGGCATTAATTAAATTATCTCTCCCCCATTCTCCACAAATAACTCCAGAGCTAGTGGTTATATCCCACCTCCAACACAGGGGCAGAGAACTGTATTCAGTCCTGGGGCAGATCTCTCCTTTTAATCTTCTTCAAAAGACTTCCCCCCACCCTCACCTCAACTTCAGAGCCACTGAAGCTTGAAAACTTAAGTTAGGTGCTTTTCTTTCTGTGTAAAAAGAATGATCTGAACTGGTAGCTCCACGCAAATGTAATTCAATAGAACTGTTACTTGGTTTCTTTTCCTTGCAATGGAAAAAAAACCACCCGCCCAACACCAACGCTTTTAACAAAAAATGGCGCTTTGGCAGTAGCCCCACTGAAGACAAGGCAGACTAACGAGGGACAAGCAGCACCAGTGGTTTTACTTTTTTCCTTCCTGCCTCCCTCCCGATCTCAATTCCTTTTGTGCCATGTCTTTCAGACTGGAAACCTGAAGGGATGGTCTGCCCTATTAATCCGTTTAAGGCACTCTGACAGCCTATGCTCGCTGGATGGGGAGGGGGAGAAACATGTAACTGCACAGTCTTAAATCTACCAGCTGCAAGGTCTGCAAAAACCTTCGAAACGTTACGCCTGCAGGATTAGCATTCTTGGCAATGGGGGAACCCAGCACTGGGGGCTGATCCTTGCACCTCCCAAGAGCATCGCTCTTGCGAAAGGTACCTGAGTGAGGTAGCAAGTTTGCATTAGCGTGTTTCCATATCATTTTTCCTTCCCCACCCACATTTCATATCTTCTGGAATCCCCTAAGCTAAGCCCACACAGGCAATCCTTGAATGACAACATATATATACACTTCTGTTCTGTGGCCTGCGGTTAGAACCAACAAGCACACGATCAGATCAGAACCTCTCTAGCCATCCACTACAACCAAGACCAGTGGAACTTCCCAGAACAAAAGAACTATTCTTCCCAGCTGAAGTTGGGGGTGGTGGGGTCTGGGAAAGCAGTCACCTCCACACAAATTTTGCCCCCCCCCCTTCATCTATATGATCCTATAATGGAAATAAAGAAATGGAAATACAGCACAGGTTGTCTTCTTGATGTATGTAAAGCAAAATGAGTTAACAGAGTAAGAAAGTCAAGTTTAACTTTCAGGTTGCTCTCCCCCTCAGGATATGTTTTAACAAAAAAAAAAAAAACCCTCCTCTCCTGCTTGTTTTATTTAAATCATACTATACTGCATCTTCCCCCAGCTTCCTTCTTCTCATAAAGAACCCAAGGCAGGTTGTAAAGTTCTCCTCCTCTCCTTTTTATCCTCACTACAACGGCCCTGTGAAGTATGTGAGGCTGAGCATCAGTGCCTAGCCTAAAGTCACCAGCTGAGCTCTATGGATCGGCAGGAAGCAGAACCCGGATCCCCAAAGTCCGATTCTAGCGCTCTTAGCACTGCACCACACAATGCCCAGAATACCTGCTTAATGTGTAAAAACCTGGCGGCTCACTCGGAGAGGGTTTAAGCACAGTATTCTTGTGTGGTCCACTTGGTCTATTATTGCTTCGGCTACCGAGATGCTTCAAGCTTTACAGCCCAAAAGACTGAAAAAGGAGCTCTGGAAAGGGAAGCAAAATCTCCTTGGCACTTAAGAACGGATTGTCCTCCGTGCTACCAAAGGATATTTTTTATACTCTCAGGGAAACTCTTTTTACTATAAAGGCTATAGCTGAACTTTTGCTGGTAGACATGCTTGAATAGAAGTGCTGCACCTAGGTCACAAGTATCTATCATCTTCCACAAATTCAGCAGGAAGACATTTACTGTTCCTTAGCAACTAGTCACTAAGGAGTCTAGTCATTTTCTCTGGGCCATTGCTCTTGATCCTGGTGACTGTTTAACCTTAAGAATACTAATCGCGAATACAAATCCATCCCTATTTTGAGGGATGTGCTCCTTCTCTAAATAAAACCCCCACAATTCACTGTTCAAATAACGCAGCAGTGTTTCTGCTCAGATGCTCCAAGCTATGGGGGCAGGATGCCGTTTGACCGCCACTTATGACAACGGGCCCATCAAGAAAAGGGCTCAGGTGACCTCAACCTCGGTCACAGCAGTAGATGAAGACAGCAAATCATGTCTAAAAACATATAGTTCAGTCATATCCCCTCAGGCCTTGGACCTTAATGACCAAACCAATCTTATTTATGACTGCAATATACTCGGTCATGCATTGTCTAGAAATAGCACCATTAGGGAGGAGAATAAATAGATGTGTCCAGCACGTGGAAACCGCTACAGCTGAGGGTCTCTGGAGCTGCTTGCAGCACTGTAGCCGTTCGCAGGGCTGTGCGTCCACAGATTCCCAGCGCCAGGGCAAAGGCGCAGCTCAACAGCCACCACTGTAGCCAAGTTTGTTGGCAGTATTTTGTGGCAAAATTTGAAGCCCAGGTGTTCATCACACCAGGCCCCGTACCGCAAGCAGCTGTGGTGAACCTTATCAACAAACCCGTTCCAGCGGATTCCATCACTCTGACAAGCAGACGTTTTAAAAATCTAATCAGCCTTTAGTTGATTCAGCCTATCCAAGCCCGATCTTGCAAGAACGTATTGTTGCTGGGGAAACCCATTTTCTCCAAAGCTTCTGCAAAGCTCAGAGTGAGAAGGGAAGCCTGGGAGGGGTGGCAGATGACATCATGCCACTGCTACTGATTAAGGAGCCCCAGGGCTTTGACCCTTTGAATCCTGGCTCCATTGCACCAGCATTGGCCTTAGCTGCAAGGTATTCATTTCATGCCAGAGTACCTGAGCAGTACTCTTAAGCATGCCCCAAGCTCAGTGAGATAACCTAGAAGCTTATTTGATGGCATAAAAGGAGGGTGTGCGGCAAGGATTAAGTGTCCTGCTGGCACCCAAACCTGCTGTACTACGGGATGCTATTTATGCTGTGGCCCATAAAGCGGGATTATGTGACAAGGTTTCTGGAGGCTCCAATGTGCAATGCTGCATTAACTGGGAAGCACGGTCTCATCTAACTTGCATGGGAGATACCATTTTAAAATTATATTTTGGTGTTAAATATTTTGCTCCTGATGAAGTATCAATTACTGGGATAGAAAAGAATTTTTGCATCTGACATGGGCATTTTCTAGGACTCAGGAGGAGCCCAAAACAGACCACAACAACGCAGGAAAAGAGT